AATATTGACTTTATTTTATCTAGAGTGTTGAATCGACTGAGTTGAAATTTAGCTTTTAGTAGTACTAGTTTTGCGAATTATTCTTTTTTTGTATAGGGAATAATTGGAACAGAACCTTTGAGACCGGGTTAATCACTAATATAGATGGTTTTTGCGGTTCTCCTCGATTTCTATATGCGTTCGCTTTAATTTTTTAGATTAGATTTATGAAATAAAACAATTCAAAACCTGGGCGATCTTCCTCCAGGCAGGGCTTTTGATGGACTGGTCCCTATTTAGATATTAGACACGTGAAGTAAACGTTCACGCGTTAAGCCCTTTGGTCGGGCTCGAACCCACGACCAACAAACAATGTTCGATGGTTTTATCCACTCGCTTTATTTTTATTTTTATCGTTCGGCGTCAATAGTTAAAGATCGCTTCCCAGACATTGCTGTATTAACGGAATTAATATTTAATTTAACAATACTCATTAATTGTTGTCATTTGATTATAGAACACGCACACATGCTTCCGAAATGAACCATTCTATGTACTGTACAGTACAATAGAAAATAACTGCTGCGAAATAATTTCAAGAACTTTACAAATTATACTTTTATATTTTTAATATTTAACATGCTAAACTTTTTGTTATAGCTATTAATTAATTAATAAAAATACCTCCCACACTGACATTAATAGTAAGTCGTATATTGTCAAATTTTTTACATATTATTGTGTTATAATTCAGTCTTTGAAGTTTCAAAAGCATTATAAATTTTTTATTATGGATTATTTGAATAATAGTTTGAATATAAAAATTTAATTCTAAACAGTTTAAATTTATAACTTCAAAAATGTGATTCAGAAAGCATTATAATCATTCATAAATCTTAAATTTTATCCATGTTTTTATTATAAAAAGAAAATAATTTTATTTTAAATAAATTTTAATGCATTTTAATGGGTTTAAGGATAAAAAGCTACTCGAGATAAGCGAATATTTGGATTAAATAAAAGAAACTTGCAAACGTTTTAAAAATTATTTTATAGACTACTTGAAATTAACAATAATAAAAGATTCTGTATTACCGAAAATAAAAATTTCCTCGCATAATAACTGTAATATTTGTTTTGAAATAACCTAGTTTCCATTTCGATAATGAATTTGCATATTTTTATTATGAAAATTCGATGAATCAGGACTATTAGTATACATTTAAACTTTTCATATATAAAATAATTTTTTGAATGTAGAACGAATTATAATTTCAATAATTAAAAGTGAGAATCTCTAGTTGTTCGGTCACTAGTGGATAAACCCCCTGAACAGTCGTTTGCACCTGACCAACTGGCCTTCGTGATCACCTCATAGGCTGGTCTCATGGACTCTGAATTTCTTCACGTGTCTTAAAGCTGGTTTTCACACTACCAGAAAATGAAAACAGAAGGAAGAAAGAAGAAAATAGTTAATGTTTAGGCTACGTACCCATTTATTTTTTGTCTAGTTCTATTTCCGCGATACTAGAATATCTTTAAATTGTTTTTATATTTTATTATAGAGGAAAGAATACTTCCTGACCTTATAAACAAGCCTATTTTTTCGTTTTGTCTCTCACTTTTTTGTCTGTCGTCATCCTTCGGTATAACAAAACGTAAAACGTCGTTACTACTACAACAAAACCATTGTCTTTTTCTATTGGCCAAAACACTACGGAAGCTCGACGGAAAAGTCGAAATATTTTCTATTCTAAGTGACCAACTAGATTTTGATCTACGGAAACTTCTGGACAGGTCGTAACATTAGTTTTCCGTTTCTGGTGTATTTTCCGGTGATGTGGAAACCGGCCTTGATACCTAAATAAGACAGTTTTTCTTAGAAAATCCTCCTAAAAATATCCCCTTGACAGTTACCATATCCCATCACACCAAATCATTTACTTGTGTGAAATTCTATTTTCTACTACCCCCGTTGAACAGATCAAAATTGATGACTCTATAATAATTTGGGACTATAAACAGCAGAGTAACTAGGATAAGTAGAATCTTGGGATTAATTGAAGTTCTACGGGTTCCGAGCTGCTTGAATTTTTTAAAGATTTATATTAATATTTTAAAAATTACATAAATTACAGTACTATCAATATTGCCTTTCATATTTAATATTCTGAAATTTTATTTACATGTAATTTGATTGTGCAGGTTGTTCATAATTAATTAAAGAGTAAATTTTACAGAGCTTTCAGTAAAAAAGAACAATTGGGAAAATCTGAACCAAATTTGGTGTACGCACTGTCCTGAGTATGTAGTTTCGATTTTCTGGAAAAAATTTTTTCCCGAAGGCTAGGTTAGAACAGCGCTTCTCAATCTATTTTTCCCTAGCGTACCGTACACTTGTAGCAGTAACAGAACCTTCTTGCGTACCACTGGTTGAGAACCGCTGTGTAGGTAGGTGCTTTACACCTAAAAAGAGTTTTGAACATCTCTATAATTATGAATATATTTTATTTTATCTTTAAGAATTTAACTACAGGACATATATTACAAAAGTCAATTATTGTAATTAAAAAATAAAAGTAGAAAATACATTTAAAAATTTGGGTTTTTTTATGCTAGTGAGTGTGGAGCACGATTTTGTTTACTACTTTGAAGCTTAATAACTATAACACCTGTGCGTTTTGTCGAAAATTTTTGAAATTTTGTAGGGAAGTTTGGGTATTAGATGGATTGATGTTGTTGTATTTTGGTTTTATATGTTGTTTAAGGTGAAAGAGTAGGGAGCTAGATGGGATCATGTGTCATATCTCGAGTGGGATCGGACTTAATGAATATTTCACTCGTTATTAGCATTTGCAAATTTTTTAAAACTCATCTGTACCGTCAAAATTAAACTTTTTGCCATCTTATAATAATTAACAATATAAAACTTTTTAAAAATAAAATCTAATAGCAGATGGCGCTACACACAATTTTAACTTTATTGTCTGGAATGTTACGAAACTCGTTGTTGGGTTTTTCTTAAATTGCTGGGATCCGAAAATTTTTCAGGCGCATCTAAATTATAGTTACGCTACTGGCTATTAGATTGCATTTAAAATAGTTTAGCTTAGATTACAATGCTTTTGAAAAACAAAGCCTACACGTCGAAAATGGGACATTCTTCCACGTAAAAACGTGGGAAAATATCCCATTTTCTGTAAAATGACAACTTAAAGCGAAACACCATTTTGGAGAATATTGTGAAGACATAACATTTGATAGTGCTGCAGAATGTTTTCAAGTAAATATATTTTATAAGACTGTAGACGTCATTATGTGAATTAACGAAAACTTGTAGGAATTTTACAAATTTCTCAACTATTTAATTTTTATTTTATTTTTTCCAAAATAAAATCTTAACTTGTTCAGAACAACGATTTTAATGAAATCGATTTTACGAGATCATTATTCTAAGGATATATAGTAAATGATTGTGCAGACGTTAAGTAGTCTATAGTATATTTTTAATCAAAAAAATGTTAAAACTGCAGAAACCAATAAAAAGAATTAGATGATTTACTTATAATAATGTACGGTTTTGCATTAAACTCTTAATGATATGATAGATAAAATAATAACACTTAAAAAAAGAAACTAATACATCAAACTAAAAGCTATTAATACTACATAAAAACTATAGGCTGTCTGTCTCTCCTTAACCAAAGGTTGGTGGGTAAGTACTTTTCGGCGCAAAAACTATAGTAACTTTATATAAAATTTATTTATTATATATGTGCACATTGTATGTATACAAAAATAAATAAAATGATATATCCTGATATATAATTTTATTTTTTCGTTACAGAATATAAACAACATATACCCCATTAATTACAGTTTACCAGTAGACACTATTCTACATTTTAAATACATCAAAGTAAAAAACAAAAAACTGTTCATAATTAAATTATCTTATAAAACATGTAAAATTAATTCTTGTTAAAACGTGAAAGTAATTAATTATGTATTCTTTTTAAATAAAAAACATTGTCCAAAGTGTATCGTATCTAAACTACTTTTAGTAATCTATTTATTTTTATTTTCTTTAGCTATAAGCATTAAGCTCGTAGTTATTTTTGAAAAGTTTGTTAATTTTTTAAAGAGAATATTGTTTATTGATGTAACAACTTGCACACATGAGGATATAAAAAAAGCTTATTAAGTCAGCTGTGATTAAAATTGGAAAGATTGATTCGTCTTCGGCAGCAATAAAAGTTTAAATACTGTAATTGCTTATTTTATTTTACACTGCATTTACGTGTTTTCGTTCAATATAAAAAAGCGTAATGCGAATTTTATTTTATTTTTAGTTTGATGGCCGAAAAAATACCTCTTGCAGGATCATCAAAGTTATACTTACGCGACTAGGGACTAAATAAAATCTAATTATTATACTTTTTCTTTTTGAAATAGTGTTTGAAGATATTTTTAGATATAAAGAAATTAAATATTTACGAAAATTCGAAAATTAATTTTCCATTGAAAAAAGCTTTTATATTTTAAAAGATAAATTTAAAGGGTTTTTTTTTTTGCAGTGGAAAATGAATTGAAATAAAGATTACATTTTTTATACTTTTTATAAGAAATTTATAAATTTCGCAATGTATATTTTTCAACATTTTATTTATGAATTATATTATTTAAAGTTAAAAAATTTACTTAACATATATAAAAACGGGAATGAAATATTTTAATTTCGTGACTACATCAACTATTGTCACTGTGTGAAAGAATTTCGCACGTTTAGAATGCTTTTCATTTGAATAAGAATAGTTTTAAAATACTTTTGAATGATTAATATTAAATGATCACTTGAAAAATTTCTAAATACCTTTTTTTTTTCCTTTTATAAATAAAAATATACATGTGTTTAAAATTTGTTTGGAATTGAATTTATTCAAAATTTTTAAAGAATTAATGCTACAATATTGTATTCAGTGTATTATTATTACTAAAATAATGTTTTTAAAATTTTTTAGATGTAGAAATGAGCAATGTTACTAACAAAACAGAAGCGGGCTATGATTATCTTATCAAGTTTTTAACGTTGGGTGATTCTGGTGTAGGAAAGACAAGTGTTTTATTTCAATACACTGATAACAGTTTCAATAGGAAATTTATATCAACCGTTGGTATTGATTTTGTAGAAAAAAGTGTGGTAAGTATCTTTTTTTCAGTTGTTTGGGATTGTCCATAAATTACGTCCTCATTTTTCTTGAAATTTTTACTCCCCCTCCTCCATTGTCCCAGTTTATCCAAGTTTCTCCCCTCCTCTCTTCGAACGTCCAACAAAACTCAACTTCCCTTAAAACCTTTATCACTTTATGAATAATAAAATGCGTAGACTGTATAAAATATAACGAAATAAAATCCCCCTTGTTCGACTTTGTCCGACTTGTCACAACCCCTTCCCTCTTTTCCAGTGTGGACGTTATTTACGGACAGCACCTTCTACTAAAAATAAAAATTAGTATTTAAATGTAATAAGTGGATACAGAAGTTATTTTTGTAAGCAAATATAATAGTTAACAGATTATATTTCAATTAGAAGCCAATTTTTCAGCGCTGTTTTTAGAGAAATTGAAGCCATTCTACTGAAAAAAATAGATTCGTAAATACTGTATTACTAAAGTTTCGTTCCAATTTTATAATTTATTTTCTAATTTTTAATTTAATAACTAGTACTATTTTTGTTACTTTCCTCAATTTTTGTTCTCTTTCTTTAATGACGCATTGAAATATAAATTATATCTGCTGAACTAATAACATCTTACTGAATGTATTTTTTTAAAGAAATCACAATTATTTTTAGTTTATCTGGCTGGCTACACATAAATTGTGAATACAACAGAATTAATTGCGTATACCTACTTACTTTATTTTAAGGTTATTTCTACTGAAATGCTCAGATTAATTTGTTTCGTTTTGATGTAAATGATGTTTCTATTCTTTATTTTGAAATACATCATAATTTTGAATAGAATAATAAGTAAAAATATTTTTTATTTAACACATAATTTCTTATTTCTTTATTTAAATACAGAGAATTAAAAATTTATTTGGGTTTTTTTTTTTTTTGTTAAATTATCGCTTAAATTAGCACACAAAATCACTACTGGAAGTTAATCTAGGAGCAGCATTTAATCTTAAGCCACGTCTTAATTAAAAACGAATAAATTTAGGTTAAAAAGTTGAAGAATTAACTATAATAGTCGTAAAATTGGTAAATATGGTGGTGGTTTCTGTAATTAAACTATTTTTCTGTTATTGTTTCTATTAATTAACCTGATTTATCTTTATTTACTTAGTAAAGCGAAAAGTATCGACAAATGGAATTATTGAAGTTAATTGGCTCATTTAATGAAAGTTTAGAAAATTTATTTCTAAATTATATTTAATGTAAATTAAGTACAATTTTTAAAATAAAAAAAAAATATGTTTACAAATTTTAAATTTAAATTAATCTTTTTTTTTTTTGCTTATTTATCGTATTCAAAATTATCATTATCCATTATTAAATTCTCAAAAACAATTAAACTAATTTTTAAAATTTTTAATTTAAAATAATATCTATCAAAATATATATTCAAATAACTATGATATTTTGTACAATTTGTATTAGATACAATTTTGTCGCCTGTATAAAAACTTAGATTGGATTATTTACAAAAGAATATATAAGTATAGGGGAGGGATGATTAATTCGACCCAATTTAATTTCATAATCTGTAATTAACGAAGTCAAATGAATAATATAGAGCAGTCCCAACAATTATGTCAAGTATTTTAAGCCTGCATTTTCAGGGAAAATCGAGACATTTTGTAAGGGAATGTCAACATATTTAGCAATAATTCAGTTCACTAAATATGATATTAAATGCTAAATATTAATATGTGAAATGTTAATTTTACTCAAATGTTTATATGTTAATAAACCCAGGATTATATTCTGTATTATATTAGGGAATATTGACATTTTAAAAATAACCTTTGAACTTTTTTAGATATCATATCGATCAAACATTAATGACATATGTACACAATTAGTCACGAATGATATATAGAATCACGAAACCAAAATTATGTTCTGCCAGTTGCATTGGGATGTAGTGCATTATAATGTCAACTTAATGTTGTGTTTTTACGAAAAGATAGAAATGGAAGAGAATGATGATGTCGAATTACACAATTTCATTCAACAAGGGGATGGAAATACAAATTATGCTTTGTATTAGAAGCCCAGACCAACAAAATTAATTTTTTAATTGTGAAACCTTACCTATAAGGTAACTTAAGTTATATATTCTTACGTCAATTTGATGTAATTTGTTACGCTATTCATTTTAAAGATTAAGAGGATCGTCAAATTAACGTAAAAATATATACAATCGAAAAGAAATACTACATTTATTTATTTTACATCAAGTACAGGAAGCCATTTTTTATAGAATAAAATAAAGAAAAATAGTTCAAATTTTTGGTATAATACAATGTATTGATGCAAAATTTATTAATATTTTTTTATACAAAAACATAAATTGAAATATTGAATTATATTTACATTTTCACTGATATTGAATTATAAATTTACTTATATTCTGATTTATTCCGTGTGTCCCTTTCTAAATAATAATTAGTTAATGTTGTTTAAATTCTTATTTAGTAAGTATTTTAAAATTCATGATAATGTGAATAATAAAGAAATATTTTATGTACAAATGTACTCAAAATTTTTTAATGTTATTTATCATAAATCTGTAACTCTATTCACATTTCTCATATGATAGATAGATGTTATAGATTTCTTAGTGTATCAATGCCATAAAGAATAATTTGAGTTGATATATTATTATTATTTGTGATATTGATGTACTAGGAAATATATTACCACATGGAACTATAGCCGTAGAGTAGCTATATTGAATTTTTCTTTCGTGCTAATTGAAGTTATATTATATGAGAATCTTTGTCGAGTTTTAATAATTTGCGTAGTAATTGATCCAGATTATAATTTTCTTCAGAAATTAATATTTTTGCTCCCGAGTCCATTAGTAATACAATATGAGATGATTTAAGATACGAAAAAGAATTACTAATTAACTATGGTTTTTGGTAAACATAAAAGTACTTTGAATGTATTTGTTAACTCGTGATCTTCAATCAAAATTTTGTAAAATTTTATCATAATTATTGAGGAAAACAAAGATGAAAGAATTTCAATTTTTATTCAGGTATATCGTTCACAACATGCTGATGGAATTACAGGTAGAAGTCAGAGAATTCATCTTCAAATATGGGATACAGCGGGCCAAGAAAGGTTTGTAATAAGTTTGTTAAATAGTACCATTAATGTTGTATATAATAATAAATATATCTTTAGTAAAGTTCTTTGTTAAAAAGCAAGTCTTGATTAATTTCGTATATTATCTGGAAAAAAATCTATTAAATTATAAAACTTTTTTCCACTCTGTCCCACCAGTAGCCGAGTGGATAAAACCATTGAACATTGGTAATGATCGTGGATTCGCGCGTCACCAGTGGTCTGGCCACATGGAATTTTCTGAATTTTCATTGTATGTGTAACCCCTAAATAAAGACCAGTTTCCATTTAAAAATTTTTTCCCGGGAGACATTCCTATTGACAGATGGCGTTGCGTTGCCATATCCCTTCAAACCAAACCACTCTTTCGGCCTTGTCGGCACTAAAAGGGCCTTTTTAATCATTTTTCAGGACCCACAATGACCGGATGGTGAAAGCTGCCCCCCAACATATCTGGGAGAAAAAACAATAATAAATAAATAAATTCCTGGAATTTTCGTCTACATTTGAACCCGGATCACCGAGCAATAGACTCCATTCGGCCACTTTAATTAATTAACACATTAACCGCCTCGACTGCCTGGCTCTCAGTTATGCACACTTTTTTTCATATATGTACTGTACAGTACAATACATATACAGTAATAATAATAAACCAAATACTATATTCGTTTAGATTAGATGAGTTCTCACGCTTTGAATACACTGTAAGAATATAAAATCTTAAATTTAACCTGCCTATTTTATCTTCACAAATTGTTCGATTTATAAATGCAGGCACTTCCAACTATTTTTAGTTGATGATAATATTATATCAAGAATTAGATACTTGAATGTTTTTAACTGTAGGTCTAACTGTAACCTCTATATTTAATTATAGTGGTGTATTAAACTTCATAAACTCAAGTTAAATGTTATTTAAAGTGTAACATATTCGCGTTAAATAACCAACGAAACAATTTTAATTGGTTTATTGTAATAAGAGCTTTATTATTTATAAATTTGTTTTAAAAAACATTTCTAATAGTCGATAATACTGAAAACAAAGACTTTAACAAAACAATTATTGTTTTTGAAATACTAAGCATACTTGAACATTATAATAATACAGTATTTTTTTTTATTAAAATTTTTCTGTAACAATAAAACTTAAATTTTTATTTTATAAAAAAGTAAGCAAACAAATATAAGTTACAAATGAGCAAAATTAAGAAATATGTGAGATTAAAAAAATCTCCAGATCAGTCGATGTAGAAAGGTGGTAACCCTATTTATATTGTCAGCATTAAATTTTGAATATTTTTACATAATAATTGATATGGACATAACCCGTATCCATTTTGTTCCGTATTAATATACTTGGATAATGAAGAGAGATAATGTTGAATTCAATGAAGAAAGATTTAACAAGTCATTAAACAAACATCTTGGATTTTGAAAGTCATTTAACTACTCATATGTTGTTAATATCAATAAAATAATGAAATAACTTCTTTTGATAGATATCGCGGCTTGACGACAGGATTTTATCGTGATGCGATGGGTTTTCTATTACTGTTCGACTTAACGAATCAAACTTCGTTTTTAAATGTTCGAAACTGGTTAGAAGAACTGAAAGTTCATGCCTACTGTGAAGATCCGGATATAGTGCTGTGCGGCAACAAGGCTGATCTAGAAAATGAAAGAGCCATATCTGAGGAACAAGCAAAAGAAGAAGCTAGCAAATATGGGTAAGCGTTTATAAAATTTTAACATGTTAATTTTTATACATATAAACTATTTTTATATTTTCTTCATTTTAAAAACAAATATAAATAACTGTCTAACAAAGGATATATATCTCTATATTGCTTGCTAATGATTGTAAGAATGTAGTCTGTCTTTATGTTAAATCAATACAATCAAATACAGTGGTACCTCAGGATACGAAATTAATCCGTTCCGAAACTGAGATCGTATCATGAAAATGTCGTAAGGTGGATCATCTTTTCCCATACGATTACATGTAAAACCAAATAATTCGTTCCAACGCGAAAAACATACTCAAATTAAAGCCAAGTAATACATTTAAAAAAATAACTGTAGTAAGAAAAACAAATGAAAAATGTGAACTAATATAACGTCGTATGGTGAGTTTTTGTTCGTATCGTGGAGCAAAAATATGTTCGAATTTCATGTCGTATCCTGAAAATTTCGTATGCTGGGGCGTTCGTAACCTGAGGTACCACTGTATTCGTTATGTTTGCTGCCAACTTTGAAAAAGCAAAAATCAGTTTAATAATGAACTGGCTGTTGCTTATTAGGAAATAATCAATGTTACAACGGTTGATCAAAAACTAAGGTTACAAGGCCGATATTCCTGGAGTTTCATACAGCCCAGAATACCACCACGCTGTTGAAGCAATTTTGCTGGGACATCATCGACTACCCTCCCTACAGTTGGACCTCGCTCAAAGCGACTTTCACCTGTTTCCTCACTTGAAGGAGAACCTAGCAGGACGACGATTCGCTTTAGACGAAGAAGTGAAACACTTCGCGACAGCTATGTCGAAAAATAACCTATATATGTACTATCAGTTGGCTGTATTGGTTGTATGAAATAAAATGTACACTTTTCACTGCAGGCTTTGTAACCTTAGTTTTTGATCCTCCCTCGTACATAAAGTATTAAAATGTTATAAATACATATACTGTTATAAATGTTTTTTACTTCAGCCCAGTATCGCGTTGTCCTAAAGACAAAAAGGGCAATTGCCCGGGGCTTTCTGTTGATGGGAACCCAAAACTAATCTTTTATAAGAAAATATTTCACTCAAAAACTTCCCTTGAAGAAAAATGAAGTCGACACCGTACATATGTCCCCAATTCAAAGTTGCCTGGACCTCATGAATTTATAATGCGCTACTGTATAGCCCAAAACATTTTTGACGTTAGATAATTATTATCTAAAAATACACGTTGTTCAAAAGACTGAAATAATTTTTTGAACTGCTAGTGAAATGTTTCTGAAAGCATTCTCTGCAAATTAACAAATTGGTACAATTTTTAAACAATTTTGACCTATTTTGCTAAATTTATTATTAAAAAGTCTATTTCTTATCTATAATCTGCATATCTTTTTCAGACTGGGATAGTTTCTTCACTCTGATTAATTTCTCAATAAATATTGAAAAAACTGGTAATTATCTATCCATTAATGAAATCTCTAACTAAACTTTTTTCTACAAATCATTTAGAAGTTGAGGAATCTTCTAGTTGTCTTTTAAAAAAGGAAAAACGGACCCTGCATAGTTATCGGATTACTCTAAGGGAGGATTCACAAGGGCAGTAAAATTAAGTTGACATTGAACGTCAACGACTGGCCCACCAATCCTCTCTTTTGACATTAATAATTAATTAAAACCACGTATGCTTTCATGTGTTTTCTTATTTAATAACTTAGTAGCATGTCTAATATATCATTCTCAAATATATTTTTTTAAATTTTATTTTCAAATCACGTTTGAATAATTGCGCATTCATAGTTTGAATTGTTTATCACTCGTAATAGCGGACAACTCATATAATTTACAGATGGTGTCGTCCATAGTTTCATCTATAAACATATGCATGATCTACCACTTTAGAATTGAAGCTAAAATCTATTTAAAAACTTCGTGTAATAAATAGTTGTATCAACTTTTATCATTTCAACTCAAATGTTCTTACTTCTTTTTTCTTCTTTGCTCTAAATCAGAGGTTTTAATAAAATCTTTTAAAATTATTCTTTCAATAACGCCAATAAATAAAAACTATATGCATATAAAAAGTAACATGATACGCTTACGTATCATGTTACTTTTATAAGATAAATTTAAATCTATCGGAAAATATATACATGTAAACTTTGGGGTTCGCGAATAGATCTTTATTAATGTAAAAAGACTTGCGAGTTCATAAAGTTTAAGAACTCTGCTCTAAATAGAAATATGAATTACCAGAAAATTCACATAATATTCTTCAATGAAAATTAAAATAAAAACCGTAAAACATTAGCTACAGTTGTGTCCCTACTCCGTTTTTCTGTAATATAGAACACCGATAACATTTCCGGTTAACGAACCGGAAATGTTATCGGTTAGAAGTTAGAATGTTGGAGAACATTTTAACTTCTAAGCAGCTAAATGATTCTACGGGAAGGCTAGATTTAGAGAATTTTCTGATAAATTGTCAACTGTCTATGATCATATGTGAGAAACACCATAACAGGTGCGCCGATTACTAGCGCATGCACAGAATGGCAAAATAGATGTACTGTACAGTGCGTTAACGAAGACCAGGCAATAGTTTATAGCGACTGGAGCAAGTTATTTGAACGTGGTCCAACTTATCCTATGCCTCAATTTTCCTCCTGATAATATTTTTAAATAAGATATAGTCCCATTCCACTTTGAGATTTATATACGAAATTTTCTGAATGGTCGTTTTCTAGATAATAGATTGATTTTTACCCACTGGACATTTTTTTGCGAGGTTTTGTGAAGATCCAAGTATATCGAACTTCTCTACATAACTTGTACGATTGCATAACGACTTTCCCATTAAATTTCGATAAGTTTCCAATTTATACTCTTTTCTTTTATTAATCTCTAAGCCAGACACTGTGTAGTAATTATACAGAAACAAACATGAAATTAACAGAAAATTATGCTGCTCTGAAGAAAATTTTTAATAGTATTTTCATACTTATTTTAGTTAATACAGTATACGCCAAATTTGACTTATTTTCATCATACAGGATTTGTTGGCAAAAATTTAATATAAAACAGACATGTCTGTCTGTTATCTGTCTCGTATGTATGTCTGATAGACAGACGGACGGACGACAGTGGGAATTTATAGGTCTATAATTTTTTTAAAGCTTTTTATTAACTTACTCTGTCCGTTTATCCAGGTAAAAAGTTGTAATTCATATACTCTCCAATTTCCGATATAGTTGAAACTTTGCACACGTGTGTATTGCCAATGATAGTACATTGTTTAATAGTTTGCAAACATTTTTAACAATTAACAAAAAATTAAAATTTGTAAATAAAANATTGTTTTATTAAATTGAAATTAAAGAATAAAAATCAAATAAGATATAAGAAAATATATTTAAGCAGTTATTAACTAAATCTGTCATCCAAAGAAAAAGATCTTCCTCTTTTGAATTTCTGCCGCCAAAAGTAATGATTTCTCTCTCAATGATGATATTGCGACACAAAAATCAGGTATACAATTGTTGTCTACATTTCGTACTTCACGTCCAAACTAATTTTTATAGCAGCATCTTCATATTTTTCGTAAATTTCTCGCGCTGTTTGAGGAGGGTGTAATGTCCACAATTATAAATAAATAAATAAAAACTGTTTGAATGGTTACACAACCTCGCAATAAATTGAAAGAATGACAAAAATTCTCAATCTCAATCTCAAATCGATCTCAAATTAATAGTGTCTTGCCCCTGTACATCATACTTTTCTTGATAACAACAGAATCATGTCGGTCATCTATGTAACTCCGTTCTGGAGAAATATTTGAAATGAAATCACGTGACTTCCGGTTTAGATTAGAAGCTAGCATATAGTTAATCTCCTACCCCTAACCTTTCCATATCTCGTCTTGACTTTCATCCATTTAACATCGTTCTTGAGATTAAGGAAGGACAAACGATAGTGAGAATTTATAGGTCTACAAATTTTTCAAATTGCAGGCCAATTAAACATGGATCTGTTGTATTTTTTGATATAAAATTATGAATTATAATTTTCCAACGCTAAGTAGCTTAGGATAACTATAGTTTTTTTTTTTTTTTTTAACTCTGTTCTATGGCACTAAGAGATTTTTTTCATACTATCGCAGATAAAAGCCTATAGAATATACCAAAAATACGATAAAATAATTTGATAGTGTTCTATTGTATATAATAGAAATACCCTATTAAAACCTAAATTTACTTAAATTTAATTATATAGAATTTTATTATCTATGCATTACAACCGAATCCATATATTTCAGAGTCCCTTATTTCGAAACGAGTGCTGCCACAGGACAGAATGTGGCAAAAGTATTCGAAACTTTGTTAGATACAGTGATGAAGAGAATACAAAGAACTGTAGATAATGCTCATCTTCCCGGAAGAATAAGAGGTAGGGCAGGATTGAAGATGGATACTGGAGAATTGGTGCAGTCTGAAAAAAGTTGTGGATGTTGAAATCCCTATCGGATCTAGTCATTATGGTGATTGCATTATCGGTACAATTAGTCTTGTGCCGTTCTTTGTTAAAATTATACAAATAAAGAAACTGCCTTTTAAAATCTGCGGTCGTTGTATTTATGAAAATCTCTCTCTCATTCGAATGTTTGTTTTTAAAACGTGTTTTTTTTATCATTTCTCTAAAACTTCATAGTTTCATTCTATCACAATTCAATGTTGTAATTTCAATGGATGAAAATCAAAAATTATTGTTTTTCACATTCTCATTTTTGTTTGAATGCTGTTTAAAGTATAAACTATGTAGAAATTAGAGAAAGAATTCAGGCAAAAACAAAAATACATGTTCCGGGTAAAGTGTGACACTACATGTTAATAAAACTAAGCAATAAAAATAATTTTATTTACAAGTAAAAAAATTCTTTTGTATTTAGACTAAATTAAGCGTGTTGATTTTAAATATGAACTCAAATTTTCCTTATGAGAAATCTCAAACTTTAGACAAGATATCATTTTCTTAAAAACTTCTCTTTTTTTATTGATATTCAGACATTTGTTTAAATCTTTATTGTTTTCTTAGACCTATATGCTTTACAGAATTGGAAAGCTACATTCTCACATTCTTACGCAAAAAGAGAAAAAAATTACGATGAACGTACCTGTACCTTTGTAGCACCATTTAGGCCTATGTAGAACTGGTACATTCAGAATGCTAGCTAGCATATTGCAAAAGAAATTGATAAAAAATAAAAGTTTAAAGTATATTTATTGTTTTATTAAATTGAAATTAAAGAATAAAAATCAAATAAGATATAAGAAAATATATTTAAGAAGTTATTAACTAAATCTGTCATCCAAAGAAAAAGATCTTCCTCTTTTGAATTTCTGCCGCCAAAAGTAATGATTTCTCTCTCAATGATGATATTGCGACACAAAAATCAGGTATACAATTGTTGTCTACATTTCGTACTTCACGTCCAAACTAATTTTTATAGCAGCATCTTCATATTTTTCGTAAATTTCTCGCGCTGTTTGAGGAGGGTGTAATGTCCACAATTATAAATAAATAAATAAAAACTGTTTGAATGGTTACACAACCTCGCAATAAATTGAAAGAATGACAAAAATTCTCAATCTCAATCTCAAATCGATCTCAAATTAATAGTGTCTTGCCCCTGTACATCATACTTTTCCTGATAACAACAGAATCATGTCGGTCATCTATGTAACTCCGTTCTGGAGAAATATTTGAAATGAAATCACGTGACTTCCGGTTTAGATTAGAAGCTAGCATATAGTTAATCTCCTACCCCTAACCTTTCCATATCTCGTCTTGACTTTCATCCATTTAACATCGTTCTTGAGATTAAGGAAGGACAAACGATAGTGAGAATTTATAGGTCTACAAATTTTTCAAATTGCAGGCCAATTAAACATGGATCTGTTGTATTTTTTGATATAAAATTATGAATTATAATTTTCCAACGCTAAGTAGCTTAGGATAACTATAGTTTTTTTTAACTCTCTGTTCTATGGCACTAAGAGATTTTTTTCATACTATCGCAGATAAAAGCCTATAGAATATACCAAAAATACGCTACCGGACCAAAATTTGTTACACTACGTTAGTCAGTTACTCTTTCTTTATGCAAGAATCTATCAGGTTAAAAATTCATCAGCTATTGGTATAGAGGTAAGTAAATAAATATAAACAACAATATGTATTATAGTATAATAAATATGACATCATGTGTAAATAAAATATACAAGCTGATGATTAAGATTATGTGCAATATGCTTGTTTATAAGACTTGCACAGCTGATTTAGTAAAGCACTAGTAAATGTAAAAAGGATAGAGAGGGCTTGCTAATCGTGAATTTACTAACGAAAAACATCAAAAACTATACAGTATAAACGTCGGAGGCTGTTAAGGTATCAGTCGATCGCTCTCATAAAACGCCCTCGAATAGTAATCGCAGAGCAAATATACAGTTTAAAATAGTGTTATTAGTATAAAACTCGTACATCATATTATTACAAATACTATACAGAAATATAATTGATTCGTTTAATCTAAGTTTCAAATCTATTTAAATACCTGGATGGCTCTTGCTTGACTTTCCCAGCATTCGAAGAGATTGAGGTGTCCGTTAACACGTCCGGTAATTTTCTGTTACATTAGTATATAAAATTTAAGTAATAAAAATAACTTAAAAGGAGTAATTTTGTTGAATTATGATAAAAATTTGCATTTATAAAACATTATGACACTTTTTTTTTTAACTCTTTCTGCCCTGTGGGCACTATGACTCTTTTAGCAAGCCCATTATGGGTTCAGCACAGTGAGGCGGCCGGATGATGAGGGACGGGGCCCAACATATCCGAATGGACTAACCCCGAAAAATTATTGGGGTTTTTTCGACCCGTCCGGATTCGATCTCGGGTTCCCCAAAGCGGTAGGATACTTCCTTCTGTTTATATATGTTAATAACCGAGAAAGTAAAATTTTAAAGGGTTTCAAATTTTTATTTCTAACGTTATGCAAAACTTTTGAAAAAAAACGATTTCGTTTTATGCATAGAAAATTCATTTTACATAAAAAAAACGGAGTAATATTTTATGTTTATTTAAGAATTCATTATAATATACAATTTAACAATAAATAAATAAATAAATTTTACGAAATTATCAATATTTTAAACAAGTTGAGATATTTTATTTTCACGAAATTTTTGTATTAACTTATTCAAAAGGAAAATGACCGGAGTAATCAAACCACAGCGACGAATTAATGGCATTCAGATAGTTGTGAATTTCGTCTAAATCGCCAGGAGGTATCCAATATTTTCTCTGGTGCAAAGAAAAAATTCGTAGATTTGGTAGATTATCGATAAACTGATAAATCAAAGCCTTTGTAATATTTCTACAGCTAGCTAACGTTATTCCTGATAAAGTTTTGGGTAAAAAGCGAATTGCTTTACACAGATCTTCTGTCACATCGATGCGTTTTATACACAGCTTTTGGAGAGAAGGACAATTGGGAAATGTTGACTGAAAGAAATCGTCCCACGGTCGTCCATCCGAGATATCAATGGTCAATTGCTTCAAAGTTTTGTAATTGGCAAAGTTGTTATAGCATCGCGATCTGAAATGTAGATGACGCGTAGAGAAGAGGCTCAGCACTTCCAAACTGGTGCAATACATACCGATGAAGTAAACATTCACGTAGTTAAAATGCTTTAATTCCAAACGTTTTAGATTTCTACCAGACACGGAAAGAAAATTCACCATTCCTACTTCAAAAGTCAGACACGAATCTGGAACAAACACCGATAGTTGTTCCAAGTGACTAAATCTTGGCAAACTGAGAAATTCTTCGTCGGATATATCGACATTAAATAAGCATAGCTTTTTCAAATACGGTGTGCATAACAGTAACTCATATACGTTAAGAGGCTCGTCACGTATCGGAAATACATCCAGATTTTCCAAATATAAATTACGATCTGAATAATATTTGCAATACTGATTTAAAGTGTGAAAGTAATTACTTGTGATAGCATCGAAACTTCTTAAATTGTGGTTGATTAAGATATTGAGAAGACCTTTCCATGTGACAGACGTAACAAATACCTTTATTCGCTCCAGTTGCGAACATCGAACTTTATTTTTCAGATCGTAACAGAGAAATAAAAGACCGTTATCTGTAATGGGACACGACGAGACGTCCAATATTTTCAAATATTTGCAAGATTCACCGATAGTTTTTAACACATTATCCGAAGTATCGGTATGACTCAGGTTTAACTGAACGATATTTAGAAAATGTCTTGCTAATACCTGAAGATCGTTTTCGGATAAGTTTGTAAAAGTAAGACGTGCTATGGTAATTCTCTGAAAATATGATTCAAATAAATTACAATTCTTGTTTTAATAACATAGATTATCAGATATTTTGTTACCTTACAGACTTCTTGTATGTCTTCGACAGGCAATTTTCTTCGATAAAATAATAAATCCAATTTTTTTATTCCAATTCTGAAAATGCAATGCATTAATAGAGGAAGATGATTCGGCGGTGTTATAAGATCTTCGCAAATAACAGGTGCTAAATGAAAAAATTTTATATTTAAAACTAAAATTGCATCTATAAAGCAGATATGCAAATTGTATTTGAATAAGAAGGTATAGTGATAATAGCATATTCCAATAAAATTTGTTTCATGACTTGTGGAAATTTAATAAATAAATGAAAACGAAATAAAAAACAACACACATTGAAGATTTATATTGAGAAAAACGAAACTCACGAAGTCTGCAAAATAAATCTGTTAAATTTACGTTTTTTTCTTGATAAAACATTAATATTTCTTCTGTGTTTTCTTTGATGTAACACAGACATAACTGGTAAAATGTCATTTCTCTTGTCATTTTTTGTTTTCGTTTCCAGTTATTAAAATTATAATCAATTGTTACTTATTGTTTCTACGTTCGAATTATTACGATGTCTAAAATATCCTAATAGCCACAACACAGTTAATCTTCAGTTAATTCCAATTCTCATAGTGAATTTCGAACACGTTGTTTAATTTTTAATTAACTTTCTTCCCTTCTGAACGATTATAAAAACTTTTTGTGACTTCTAATGGTCACATAAATGCGTAAATGAAGAAAAGAAATTGAATGCAGATTGTTTGGTTAAAAAATGTAAAAGTATCTGTTTACTGTGCAGCTTACTACATCTTTCACAACTAAATTATATGCATTTATAAAACAATCAATGATCTGGGATTTTAAAATCATTCATGTTTGAACCATTGTAGTAGCTTCGTCCATATTCATGCATAAAGTTATCATTTTCTAGTTAAAGTCAATTCTTCTAAGGATTTCATAATTTAAGCCATTCCAGTTCCTGTAAAATCATTTAGATTTATAAAATTGGAAACTATTTTTTTATTTTTATATCTATACAAATTTTAGTTCTTATGTTTCCCATATCTGATCATTACAAAAGACTACTCAGAAACAATAATTTTTTTCAAAAAAAAATTAAAATGTTATTAGTAATGCAATATTATTTTTTTATTAAAATTAAAAGTTCTATGATCACCAATATGAATTATTAATCAATATGGAATTATTTATAATTTACATCAACATCAAATACTATATTCGTTTGTAAACATATCATCTGAAACAATCAATGATTATATTCTGAATTATTATTCTGATGTTGAATAAACATATCATCTGATATATAAAATTTACAAAGTATTTAATAATAATTACATTATGTTCATTTTCATAAGAAATAAAATATACAATTACAAAACCGAAATCTAAATATCCCTACAGGATAGTTCAAAAAGGAACTGGCACTTAAGAAAAATAATATTTCCTTTTCTATTGAACAGAATACGTAATGGCACGTATATAATAAAAGGAAAACTATAAAGGTTTTTTGACAGTCTCAGGTGTTCTATGAGTACACCTCTGGTCACATGGCAGATATTTAGCCAATTCTAATTTATTTCACACCTGGTCCAGTGTGTTTTTTCGATTTTTACCAATTGTTTTGAATTCATTACTGTATTTCAGTTTAGTCGCTTTCCTGTGAGAATTGATACGCTTGTGTCTTTTACAAATCATCGGAAAAGGAATCACAGGAGGTTAAATCTGACTATTGTGATGACCATTGCAGCAACTCTAGATATACGTCCCACAATGATGAATCGATTGTATAACAACTACGGTTCGATCAATCATTGTAGGAGCGGTGGCCAGATAATGAGAAACAGTGCTATGAAAGTTTATTAGTTCTTGTTAATAAATGAAACTGTCATTATCTTCTTGCATTTGAGGCATGAGCTAAATGTGGAATTTGTCCAGATATGAATGTTCTTGATCGATAATTAAGAGGAAAAATACACTCATAAACTTTTTCCTTCGACAAGACACGAACAAATTCACTTTTCGTTAGTATCACGGAATGACTGGCATGTCGCATATAAACGGGGGAGACAAGCATGCCGGAAATCCCGAGGTTACAGGCATGCCAGTTAAACTGACTAAGATATAAAATTAATCAGATCAAACAAAATTATTTGTTAAATGTAATTCGTAGATTCGTTTAAATTATAAACAATGCAAAGAATTAATCTATTTAATGAGGACAAAATATCAGTTCTGTAAGAAATATGTCACAAGGATTAAATTGATGCTAAAAGTAATTTCAGAAAAGTGGCGAGACAAACTTTAATTAAATGTAAACGCTTTATTCAAATGAACGATATATAGAAAATAAATAGAATAAATTAAAACAACAAAAATTAACGTGAACAAAATTAGAAATAGGAATAACTAGCACGAACAAGGAATAGCTTGTTTTGAGATCTCCATTGATCAAGCTCCAATGGAGCTTGACCAATAGAGACTGTTGTGACTGGTGTGGACATTTCAAAATATTGGCTTTAAGCATTCAGAATTGCTTTTTTTTTTCTACTCCCATACTGGAGTTTAGAAACGATAGGCGTGGAAAGAAAAGCTTTTGCTAAGAAGTAAAATACAGAATTGGGGTCGACTGTATACACTAGAATTACTGTATATTCTACTTCATACATGTAAAATAATTTCGGCATTTTTTCCGACTTTTGACTTTTTCCGTTCTGTGGGCAGTAAGACGATTTTTCCATGCCCGTGATAGCAACGAAACTCACAATTTGGAAGTCCAAACGATAAGTTCCTTCAAAATTAAAAACCAATTTATCATAGAAAGCTGTCAAGATATTTTACACAAGTCTTTTACATCTCGAATATAAATTGCATATTAAAATTATCCTGTTATCTATGAGAATACGTAAATGTCATGCGATTCTTCATATTCATGAATAATTTTAGTTAGATGCTTCAATACGCCATCGTAAATCAGAATCACTCCTAATAGAGAAATTCAAATGGACAATATCACTTATTGTAAATTTGTCGCCTTACAAAATATATCTAACCGTAGTGGCGTGCCGTCTAAGGAAGCTGTGGAAGCGCCGCTTCCTTTCTGTTTTCTAAAATATAAATATCTGTTATGCAATTATTTTCATATTTTAACGTACTTTGAATTACAGTATTTGAAAATTAATGTTGTATTATAATCGCATTACGTATTTTATTACAAATTTCTATACTACACATGAAAAACAATGATAAGATTGCTATTGTATATTCGAATATAAATTCGTACATGCATATTTCCAATGGAATCACTGTATTGTCGAATACGGGACAGCTTCCACGGCGAAAATATTTGATTGGAATAAAACAACCAGATTATACGCATTTGCGTATGGGCTTTATAGAACACCAACTTCTGGCGGTTTAGCTGGTGGATGCTACACACGAAAATATCATATTGTTTCCAATGATTCCATCCATTAGCCACTGGTAGGGAGCTATTTGACTAAGCGANAAAATTATCCCGTTATCTATGAGAATACGTAAATGTCATGCGATTCTTCATATTCATGAATAATTTTAGTTAGATGTTTCAATACGTCATCGTAAATCAGAATCGCTCCTAACAGAGAAATTCAAATGGACAATATCACTTATTGTAAATTTGTCACCATACAAAATATATCTAACCGCAGTGGCGTGCCCTCTACGGAAGCTGTGGAAGCGCCGCTTCCCTTCTATTTTCTAAAGTATAAATATATGTTGTGCAATTATTGTCATATTTTAACATACTTTGAATTATTTAAAAATTAATATTGTATTATAACCGCATTATGTATTTTATTACAAATTTCTATACTATACATGAAAACAATAAGATTGCTATTGTATATTCGAATATAAATTCGTACATGCATATTTCCAATGGAATCACTATATTGTCGAATACGGGACAACTTCCACGGCGAAAATATTTGATTGGCGTAAAGCAACCATATTATATGCATTCGCGTATGGACTTTATAGAACACCAACCTCTGGCGGTTTAGCTGGTGGATGCTACACACGAAAATATCATATTATGTTTCCAATGATTCCATCCATTAGCCACTGGTAGGGAGCTATTTGACTAAGTGAATTGTTTTAAGATTTAAAAAAGTAAAGAATATTTTATTTTTATGTATAGTACGTTTCTTTATAAAGCTATATTTACTGTAATCATAATTTTCGTTTAATTATAATTACTGTATATTGACAAATTTTCAGACAAAACCTTTAGAATTTTTATCACTTTTAGATGTTAATAATTTTAAATATTATGAGAAANAATCGGGAATTTATACCAGTTTTGAAAGCGAACGACTTGAACCCAATCGTAACATGGAACTAGCCTATTATAACGTTTTATAATTTACTTTATGAACTCAGAGGATAAGTTTATTATATGCTAACTATTATATATTGATAGATAACTTCCAATGCTCAACCTGCATTTTTCTTGCATTGAGAATTCATGTATAACAATATTACTGAAGAACAATTTGCAGATTACTAAATCTTTAATTATAAACAAAACTGCGACATTTATCTAAAACAAAAAGCTTTTAAATTATTTTTATTTATTTTTAAATCCTGTTAATATTATTTTATAAATTCTCGTTATTTGGTTTTTTGTTTCCAGAAATATATTTACTAAATTATTTAATTTAAAAATTTTGTTTATATTTGTTAATTAAATAAACTGGTTATAAATATTTGTTTTGTTTTATTATATTTGAGTATTTAGTTTTTATTGTTTACAGTGAATTTTCTATGCTGTTAAAAATACATTTTGAAAATACGAATAAAATTCTCATAAGTTTTGGAATTCAAATTTTTGGAAAAAATGTTTTAAATATTATTTTTTATTTGAGAATCTAAAAATGAGAAACAAAAAATAGATGAAATTGGAAATTCTAAACATGTACAGGTACTCTCCCCTTAGTAAGAAGGTAGGAGCGGCTTAATTTTTATGGAATCGAGAAGGCTTTTCAAATCTAAATACTTTACATTTTGATCAATTTTTTAATTGCACGCATAGTTTAAGAGATATTTGTTAGTGATCCTGTATATTATGTAAAAAAGTTATTTTACTATAAACGTGATTTTAATGAATACCTTAATATAAGAATCATGAAGTATTATTAAATTTTTTCAAATAAATCATTTTACTTACTATTCACAATAACATTACATCACTGTACACTACTTATAGAGAGAAGCTTAGTTCATTAACGGAAAAATAAATGGTGCATAAACTTTACATTAACGTTAAAAAACGCTTTTGTGGGTCAATTGGAAACGAAAAATTTTGTCAACATATTTCTAAACTATACGAAGCACGTTATGGTTACTCAAGGATTAATTTCATTATAAATCGTATGCAATGTAGGGTGTCCCAAAAATCTAGACACATAATCAAAAATACATATTTTTAAGAAATAAAATTTATTAAAAACATTTTATTCAC